GGTTTGTTACAGTGGCTTGTTGACCGTTTTGGTAGCTTCGAGTCTAACCTTCGGCTGCAGGTAAAACACCGGGGCTTCAAGGCTCAAGAAGTTGGTTCTTGAGGCTTCGGTAGCAGAAGCTAACCCTTCTAAAGCGCTGAGTATCACTCTTGAATCAACCTTAACAACAAGCCTTGAGCATAGCTTGCGCTGGCCTTTGTGCGCGATCGAAAGAGTGTGCACTTTTTAAGCGACCGAGTGTTCGCCAATCGCCCGCCTAGTATTGTCAAAAAACCCAGCAAAAAGAACAACGCTCATATGAAAGAGAGGTTTACGGGTAAGGGTTTAGGGTTCTCATTCGGCACAAGTCCCTAAATGCTGAACCATAAAGCATCAGGGCTAAACAATCTGTACAGGGTGTAACGCTTGAGGCTGAAGGACTTTCAGTTCTTCGTTTTAGAAGAAGCTTGGGATTCTGCAGCGCTTTAGACAGTCACCCTCCTCTTTGTAGAGCTACGATAGCTATCGCATAGTATGCTGATCTCATTAAGACACAGGAAAACCTCAAACCCTGAAGCCGAAAACCAACACCTGCCAGGATCTATGGAGTCGATGGGGAACCCATCTGCAAACTAAAGAACCGGCCCTAATCTGCCTCACCAGAAGACACCTCAACCGGTTTTACTCAGAAACCCGGAACCCCAAAAGCCTTCTCAGCCCAAAACCCCTAACTCCTGAACCAAACCCGAAATCATTTCTAGCATTCAGGGCTCGGCCTCTGCAGTGGCTTTGCCCTCCTCTAGCATCTTCGAGAACCACTCCTTGCTTACAGCAAAGAGGACTGTCAGAGCGAAGGAGGTATGTGGATAGTTGGACCTAGCTGTAACAGGGGAGACTTATTTAGAGAACTACCCATGTGGGGCTCGAGGCGGTTGTGGTCAAGGTAGCAGGATCTGCGTCAACCTGTGCGTCAACCTTTGCCCGTCCAAACGTGAGCAAAAGCTGCGAGAAGCTGCGACTGTCGGTATGGTGGTGCACTAATATGGGAGTGCAGTCGGCGGCTTTTCAATTTCTCTGTAATATACACATGTATATATATATATAGAGAGAGAGAGAGAGAGAGAGAGATGCATTACGGGCGAAAACTAGCAAGATCTGGCATCCTGCAGCAGTTTGGATGGCATTGGGCACACTGACATGTGCTGTTTTTGTGCGTTGCTTCTTTCAACATGTAATTAAATTAATGCCTCACGAAAACCCACAACGGAACAACACAACAATGCTTCTTACTTCTGGCAGTTTGGCAGCATCGAAAGTGGAAAATATGCTAGTTTTTCTCGAGGAGTTTGATCAATTCCGATTTTGGGCCAGCCAACGCCGAAGAGGTGAGGTAACTGGGGGCATTTTCATCAATTTGATGCGTGATGTGCGGCCTTCGCAGCGACCCCAACTTCTGCTACAACCGCAGTGTTTCGGGTTTAAGGTTTGGGGTTTAGGGTCGTGGCATATGTTGTGAAAGTTGTCATCTTCCTCTCTTCATGCAGTAAAATGCATCAAGGCCTCGTGACAGGATTTGGCTCTTTCGTGAAACGTCGGAAAGATGATGACAAGATGCAGTTTCCTCATTCTGACATGAGAGCCAGAAGAAGGCTTGCGTCAGTGGGGCCGGCTCCTGAACAAAGTACCCGCGTCGTCGTGCATGTTTTGGCGGGCTTCAGGGCACACAATGACGACGCTCAGGAGCTTCAGCGCCTCAGTGAAAAGTGCACTGCGCCTTGTAACTCTAGTCGTGTTTGTTGTGGCAAAGCCCTGCAGCCCACAGAAAACACTGCAAGCCTGGAGCCCCAAGTAAAGACCCTCAAAGCCCAACCCTCACCAAGACACAAACAACCTGAAACCCTCAACAAAACCATAAACCCGAATCCTTAAACACTAAACGCTCATCCCTAAAATCCTGAACCCTGGCTCTGTTCAAGGCCCATCCGAAGCTCCTACAAGACCTATCAAAGTAAATGCTTTCGTGCTGCCCTAAAGTCTTAAAACCTAGTTTTGCAAAACCCTAAACCTGAGACCCTGAACCCCCTACAACAACTCCAAAGTCCCACGCCAAACCCGCAAGTAAGCTCATGATTATAACCTACAACCCTAACGCCCTACAGCCCGACAACCCAGCTAAGCCCTAAAAGCCAAGCCCTAAACCCCTGAACCCTTAAACCCCTAAGCCCGAAACCCTGAACCCTAAACCCCTAAACCCTAAGACCCCTAAACCCCTAAACCCCTAAGACCCCTAAGACCCCTAAGACCCCTAAGACCCCTAAGACCCCTAAAACCCCCTAAAACCCCCTAAACCCCAAACCCTGAACCCCCCAACCAGAAAAAAAAAACCTCCCGCAGAATCGCTCCTCAGCTTCGGAAGGCGACTGCAGCTTGGCCCAGGCGCCGATGACGTCGGTGTACGTCTTGCCTGGAAGCTCGGGTTGCTTACCTTTGGTTAGTAGGGATGGAGGAATGGGGTACAATTATAACTACTATTACTACCATTCTTCCATTCCCTACTAACCAAAGGTAAGGTTGAGAGTTTAGGGTTTAGGGTTTGAGGAGTTTGGGGTTTGGGTTTTACGGGTTCAGGGTTCAGGGTCTGTAGGGTTTGAGGGTTTGGGGTTTTGGGGTTTATGGCTTAGGGTTCAGGGTTTGGGGTTTAGGTTCATACCAACAACCTACTCTTAGTTGCTGAGTTCATAAGCCCCAGAAAGTGAAAACTTTCAGGTCTTTAAGGGGTAATATTCAAAAGTGCAAAGTGTACTCATTCAGCCACCGAGTACCTTTTTGAATCTTGGTAGCGTCCCCTCAAGAGCCAGGGGAACTGATGATGCGAACCTACCAAAAAATAGGTCATGTTAGGTGAGGATCGTGATTACAAGCTTAGTTGGTTTAGGTTTTAGGGTGTAGGGCTCAATTTGCAAGGCTTGGGTTTAGGTTTCTAGGGTTAAGTTTGCCAGTTCATAAGCCAAACAACTTCAAAAACTTACGTTTCACCCGGTTTATAGAAAGAGTTAAAACCTACGAAATCAGCTAAGTTCATAAAGCGGTCTATATGAACGGTACAAGGTTTTCGGCGTTTAACACTTGAAGAAACTGACACCCTCAACGCTGTTTTAAATACTTCTGGTGGGGGACGCTCTTTTCAATTATAGCTCCTGTTGGAGTTACCTTACAGGATCCGAAAAGTCGAAATCTTGTTAAACCGAAGAAAGGAACTACAATGGAGACTACGCATATAGAACCCTTTTTCGCAACCCTGAAAGGAACCCCCTAAAACCCTAAAACCCTAAATCCCAAAAGAAAGATCCCTGAAAGACCCATGAAAGGAATCCGTAAAGGAGAGACTACGATGCTCTCAAGGCCCCCTACACCCTGAACCCTTTCTCTCCCACTCTTTGCAGGTAAGCCCAACCGATTCGGTTTAGGGTTTAGGCCGGGAGCAGAACGACGAAGGCAACCAAATCTTCCCTAGAGGCCTGACTGATTGGGATTTGCAGGGTGGCTTCTTCTGGGGCTTACTAGGTTTTGGGGAGCTTTGTGGTACAACTAAAACTGTATTGCGAGAACCTAAAGGGCAATGCTTCGAAGTGTTCAAGCATCTGATCATCAAAAGCCCAGTCAACTGTCACTGTCAGGGCTCATGCTTCCATCTCGAAGCCTCATTCGTTGATGAACTTCTCCTCTGTAGTCTCTGAATAACTGAATAAGCTCTAAACCCCAAGCCCTAAACCCAGAACCCGGCTGATTTCAATGCACACTGGAAACCTGCTCTTATTCTGCAGGCACCTTCGTCGGGGCTGTCTCCGGAGGGGTCTTCAAGGGTCTGGAGCTTCAGTTGGGTTAACGGCTCTAGAGTTTGGGGTTTGGCGGTTTAGGGTTAAGGTTTACCTCCCCATGCAAATAACAGGCATTTGTCACAGCAAGGTCTCCCACCGTCAATCTCGACCTCCGCTTCTTGTAGCCTGGACAGTGGCTTCGAGATTGGTGTGGGGTTTTGCAAGCCCCAGAGCTTATCAACCTACGCGAAACCCTGGCCCCTAAACCCTAAACCTGAATTGCTAAACCCTATGTAAACCTGAATTCCTGAACTCTAAACCTTAATCTTAATTCCTCAGCCCTAAACCTGAAACCCCTAAGCAACCCCTCGACCCTGAAGCGCTCGAGCATGGCCTATACCCTCCGAAGGATCCAGAAGCTCTTCACCTTGTCAACCAAAGATAAACCCGGAGCCGTAACTTGCAAATCTAAGGTCTCCCTGTCATGGAACAGGGTTTAGGATGGTTTCGGTTTTTTAATTATGGTGATTTAGGGTTCAGCGTTACAGGGTTCGTGCCGATAAAGACTTTCATTGCTACGTGACCCGAGCAATTGATTATTGACCTGCGGCTGACAGGCATCAACGGCAGTTGCATGATTATTATTGAATTGGTATATTCTTTCGTATTGTATCGTATTCTATATGACATTATATTCAAGTTTCTAAAAATTCTGCTATATTGCGGTATTTTGTATTATACTACAAAAACACTATGCTGAATTAAATTCAATTATGCTTCATAACAATATATTGCATTATGCTATATCATGAAATATCATGTTGTGTTATAGTCGATAAAAATATATTGTATACTAGATTCTGAGATATTATGATATATTATGTCATATTCTGCTATGTTATATCAAACTATATCATACTGCACTACACTGTATTGTATTATATTTTATTGTGGTGTACTTATTTTAATTATCCTATATTTCGACAGCATGTGTAAGGGACGGCGAAGGACAGCCCTCTGCGACGGCAATGGGGAACCTGTGGGCCGAGTTCGGAAGGGTTTACGGTTTTCGGTTCATATCAGTTTATGTAGGGTTTAAGGTCTAAGGTTTTAATATGCACTAGCCTTTTCTCCGCTGAGCAGTTCCGCATGCACCATAAAAGAGGCTTGTGCCCAAATCAACATGTAGGCTAGCAGCAAACATCACTCACCAGGTTTGTGTGCGGCATGAGCACTGACGACATCAGTGCCAGTTGGCCTAACGACGACGAACAGCTGCCGCAGGAAATTCTCCAAAAACCAAGGCAGGCCAAGAAGAAGCTGCAGCATTCGACCCATTTGCCCCTGAAGAGGAAGCCAAACCAGTACACCAGCTCCGACATGACGTGAAATTTCGCAGACTGGCGGGTGGTTGCCTTCAAAGCTCCGGCCGAAACTTTCACCCAACGTCAAACTCTGCATGCTGCTGGGTAGTTGGATGCCCTCCAAGTTCTGGTTGAAGTTGCTGCCAAACGTCCAACTTTGCAGGATGCTGGGTAGTTGGATACCCTCCAAGCTCTGGTTGAAGCCGTGGTCCAACGTTAAACTGTGCACCACAAAACTCTGGCTGAAGTACATGCCAAACGTCCAACTCTGCAGGCTGCTGGGTAGTTGGATGCCCCCGATCCAAGCTCTGGTTGACGTTGCAGCTAAACGTCAAACTGTGCAGGCTAATGGGTAGTTGGAATGCCCTCCCAACCCTGGTTGAAGTCGACGCCAAATTTCAATTTCTGCAGGCTGCTACGTAATAGGATGCCCCTCAAGCTTAAGCTCTGGTTGACATCGTGGCCAAGCGTCAAACTCTGCAGGCTGCTGAGAAGTTCGATGCCGTGGTTTAGCACTTTTTTTCTAGAATCCCATGTGAGCACCACCGGATGTCAAAACAAGTGGCCATGCAGCGTGGCCAGTTCTGTCTGGCTGCGATAGGTTCCGCTACTTCCCACCCTCTTTCGGCAAAGTTGACATCCAGCTCAAAGCTGGAACCTGCCAGGCAAAGAACGCTCACGGTCTGCTCTGCCCTGTCCGGACCAGCCTCTGCAGGGTGCGGGATGCTCAAATGTTGCTTCATGGTGCCTTCGGACGCATCGGCCATGGCGTTGGCGGCACTTCCCTAAACGCTAAGTTCCGAAACCCGGGAGTTCCCAACGGGTTTCGGGATTAGGCTTGCGGGTACGGGGTATACTGGGGCAGGAAGACCGAGTTTCAATCAAACAGCTCAAACCGAAAGCTCGCATTTCGAATCCTGTGTAAGGCCTACGCCAAAACACCTGAACCTTTGATCTGTCCGAACATGAACAGCTGTGCGACCTTGAAGAACGCCCGGGACGCTAGACAAGAAAACAACGTGAAATCCAAGAACCCTCCACCCGGACTCAACCCTAAACTCCAAACCCTAATCCAGGAAACGTCATAGACCCTGAACCCTCAACCCAAACCTCAGCTTTTGCAGCGGAACTCTGCCAACCCCTAAACACCAAACCTTGTAGCCGGAGCCTGGAACACCACTTCTGCACCGTATGCTTACTTCGTCTGCTGCGGCCTCGGATTATGATGGCTAGTGTCGGTCAGGGTTTATAGGCCTTCTAAGTGTTGGAACATGAGTTAATGATGGCAAATGCCGGGATTCCCGCTGCTTTACCAGAGGATGCTGCTAATAGACGGGCCTCAATAATTACCATTACTATTTTTGGGTATAATATCTGATTGATATGGCGGCTCCTTTAATGCCCCCCCTCGACCATTCGCGCGCGGCTTCTTTAATAGCTTGGTGTCTGGGTGGGTTCGACTGTTTTGGGGATCCGCCCAAAGCCAAACCCCGATCACTCCAAGATAACAACCACGACTATTGTACAGTAGTCGTAGTACGGTAGAAATTAGTAAAGTAGTAGTACGCAAGTACGGTAGTAGCACAGTAGTACAATCGCAGTACAGTAATAGTACATTGGGGTTCAGGTTTTAGATTGTAGGGTTTAGGGTTATAGTGTTAAGGGTTTAAAGGGGTTTACAGTTTACGGAGAGCTTCCGGCTTCGGGTAAAAAACTTGTGGGTGCCATGAGATTTTCCAGGGCTTGAGATCCGCAGCTGTTTCCGGAGCTGCCACTCGGTGTTCGATTGCAATTGTCTTTCCCCTGTGGAGGCTGCAGGTCTTGGCACGTCCCCACCCGTAGGCGAGATGCCCGGCCCAACCCACATGGGTTTTCCAGTATTCAGCGTATTACTGTTGTCGTTGTTTTGCACTTTCATGCCCAACACACTGCTTGAAAAATCAGGTCGACAGCGATGTCGCATGCGTGCGCAGAGGTCGCGCGCGAAATTTTTATCGCACCAAAAAAGTTCACAGGGATTGTCCACGGTGGTTGATCGGATGGCTGGTAGCAAGGTGGTTCCAGATCTCCTCCTAAACACAACCTCCTAAACATTTGCTATCAAAGACCTGCACGCAAGACTTAACTTCCGCGCGATGTAAAGCCGGTCCGAATCTCGGCATCCGGATCGTATTGCTTGCCATCGTGTTTTGTGTCTTTGTATGATAAAGAAAATGAAGAAAAACATGAAATTGAATTCACAACGAACCTCGGGTGGGTCGGGAAGCAGCCGCGCGTCAGGCTTGGCACACCCTAGACCCTAAACCCTAGACACCCTAAAACCCTAAACCCTAAAACTCTAAAACTCTAAAACCCTGAAACTCGAAAACCCTAAACCCTAAAACCCTAAAGCTCGAAAGCCCTAAAACTCTAAAACCCTAAAGCCTAAAACCCTAAAACTCTAAAACCCTAAAACTATAAAACCCTAACACCCTAAAACTCTAAAACCCTAAAACTCTAAACCCTAAAACCCTAAAACTCTAAGACCCTAAAACCCTAAAACCCTCAAACTCTAAAACCCTAAAACCCTAACCCAAAATCCAGCGATCAGGATTCAAGTTCCAAATGCTCTGCGAAGCCACACGTCAACCAAAAATTTCCATCGGGACGGTATAGGTTTTAGGGTTTATAGGGTTTACAGGGTTTAGGGTTTTTAGGGTTGATAGGGTTTAGGGTTTTAGGGCTAATAATAGGGTTTAGGGTTCCTGTTTTGAGGACCTTTTTCCTGGGCTGTGACTCCAAGAGAGGCTCTTTAGGTAGGTCTGTTGCATGGACCTCTACCCGGGCTTAGGGTTCACAGACCCTCTTTGAGGAGTACGCAGCAAAAGATCAGAGTAGTTTATACCCATAGGCTCCAAAGTAGTTTCTTTTTGGGGTTACGTTATAGGATCCTACAAATAAGCCACAAAAAGAAACTACCTTGGAGCCTATGGGTACGGTCTCATGGTTGGCATCAAGTTTCCGATTGACACGGAGCCCTTTGGATTTAGACACCCCCCCCTAAACTCTAAAACCCCTAAACCCCTACACCCTCGACCCCCAAGCCCTAAACCCTTAAACCCCTAAACCCTAAACCCCTAAACCCCTAAACCCTAAACTTCCCTAAACCCTAAACCGCTAAACCCCCAACACTCTAAAACCCTAAACCCCTGCCACAACGGAGTCTGAGGACACTCCAAGCATCCGACCGTCACCCGTCAGCAAGGCATAGACGGATGCAGGGGGCCTCAGGTTCGGGCTTTGGGCTTCCTAGGGTTTAGGGGTTTAGGGGTTTAGGATTTGAGGGGTTTAGGGTTTAGGGGTTTAGGGGTTTAGGGTTCAGGGTTTATGGATTAGGGTTCAGGGTTTAGGCGTTTAGGGGTTTAGGGGTTCAGGGGTTTAGGTGCAGGGGTTTAGGGTTGAGGGGTTTGAGGTTTAGGGTTCAGGGTCTTAGGGGTTTAGGGTTGAGGGTTTAGGGTTCAGGGTTTGGGGTTTAGGGTTCAGGGTTTAGAGTTTAGGGTTCAGGGTTTACGGTTTAGGATTGAGGGTTCAGGGTTTAGAGGTTACCGAGAGAAACCAAGGTACCTTAAGCAAGGTAAAATGGTTTAGAGTTACATCCCTCATCTTCGGATACATTGGTTCTCTAGGTACCACCTATCAATCCTGAAACCTGAACCCTAAACCCTAAACCCTAAATCCTAAACCCCAAACCCTAAACCCCATTCAAACCCTAAACCCCAAACCCAAAACCCCACTCAAAGCCTGAATGGGTTGTAAATGCACCCTTTAAAGGAACAACGATCCAAGTCAAACCCCGTCCTCAGAAACCTCGCGTACTGCACCTTAGGCTCCATAGCGCTGCCATTCAGCAACTTTAGCTTCAAGGGTTCGTGGCTCCGGCCGCGCAAACAGCAAAGGCGGAAAACCTTTAACACCTTCGCTTCCCTAAGCCTCTAAACCCTACTTTAATCCCCACATAACATACCTTCTTAAGAACTTAATACAAGGAAAACAAACTAAGGAACCCACAACAAGGTAGGTTTGTATAGGGTCCAGGCAGGCCCTCGACCCTAAGCCACAATGATCCTAGACCCCAAACCCGCAGCCATGCCGAACCACTGCTCGAAGGGATCATCGGAGATGGGAACTAAGCTAGAGACTTCAAGACGTAGCATAAGAAAATGTATCTCTCTATCTATATATATATATATGCATATAATATGTGTATATATATATATCTATATATATATATACACACATACACAGATAGATGGATAGATGGTTAGATAGATAGATCGGGTACAAAGATAGATAGATAGATAGATAGGTAGATAGATAGGGAGATAGAGAGGTAGATAGATAGGTAGCTAGATGGATAGGTAGGTAGGTAGGTAGGTAGGTAGGTAGGTAGGTAGGTAGGTAGGTAGATAGATAGATAAGAGATAGATAGACAAACAGATAGGTAAATAGATAGAGGGACTATACGGTGGAAGTGCTCAGCCTAATTATCACTGTCAATACTAGTACTGTAGTATAACTATTATGGTCATTATTATTGATTATTTTCCAGGATATTGTACACGCATATACATATACATGTACATATACATGTCTAAGTAGAAATGTATATACCTACACCATCTATATATATATATACATATATATATATATATGTGTGTGTGTTTGTGTGTGATTCATCCAAAAAATATTCTATCGCGGATTTAGCAGGTTTTAGCCAGTAAATTCCCACACCTTCCCTGCATACGGAGCCCCGAAGCATGCCCTCCCGAAGCTCGAAAACCTTAACCTAAAACCGTAAATGCTGAACTTTGAGCCCAAATCCTAATTAAACTTCAAACCCGCCCAAGACTGTCCCTTCTGCCTGTGACTCCGATTGCCGTCTATTTTGACGGTTACACCCTACGGTATAAGAATTAATGAAGGATCAGAACCTGCTGCTTGTAGGTTCTGGGGTTGTGGGTAAACCCTGACGCCCGAACTCAAAAAACCTACACCCTAAAAAGGCATACCCTCAACCCCCAAAAGCCCACACCTTGGGCCAAGGAATAGGCCTGATCCCTTGGCTAAGCATCTGCTCGAAAAGCATCTCAGCCTCCTGGTGAGATTGGGCTGAGGGTTTAGGGTTTCAGGAGGGTTAGGGGATTCAGGGCTTGGGTGTGGGGTTGGGGGTCTGAGTGAGGTTCTGTCGGACGCACGTCGGTGTGGGTCCAGATT